GAACACCCGGACTAAGAACAAACAAAGAGCACCTTTATTGTATCATTTTCTAACATATCTATTTAGGTATTTCTTATCTTTTGAAGTTTATTTACTCTATTTTTAATAGCATTTGACCAAATTATGTAAACGAGATAATATTCAATATACAATTTTCAACTTTGACATCTATATGCAAAATGACGTCTTCGGGGACCTATAACTCGAAAACCCCTCGATAGATTTTTTTGCGTCCATATGACAGCTTTCAATCAGGATAACGAGAAGTATATCATATCAAAATTTCAGACGATTTGACCGGGACCACTTTTCCTATTTTTTTGTGCGGGGTCCATTTTATATTTCCTATGGGAAATTATCTTATTAAATATGAGTTTTTTAAGTTCATTTAATCACTAGCAGGTAAACATGAACTTAACCGATTTTACTCTAGGAACGAACCGTTTAGACTTTTTGATATCCTCAAACACATTAACATTTAAATCCAAATTTTCAGCATTAAGTAGTTTAAGGTGTTCTGACGAGTCATTTAACCTCCTGTTAGGGCCTCTAACCGAGGTGTCAACATTTAATTTAGGGCTAGATCACTGGATCATAAAGGGGATGGGGACGTCACTGCTAAATAATGCACTCACACTTCCAGTTTATATCTCTCTATTGTTGCCAAAATAATCGTTTAATAAAGTAATAAATACTGTAACCACATTCAAGTACTTTTAATTATTCACAGGTTAGTTAACAAGTCGCATTTGAGTTATTTGAGAACATTCACTAATCGGTATAAATTCACTAGTTGCTAAGTGCTCAATAGTCAATTTAACAATAATTGTCAGTATTAGCGGAACGCTAATATTTTAATTGAGAGCACAAGATAAAGTTTATTCTTAATAGAAATCTTCGGGAGTTGGGAGTTTTTATATTTTTAGAGAGCCCTTAAAAAAGGGGAGTGTGATTAACTCAATGTTTTACGAGATATTATATCACTTGAGTTTTCAAGCCAGCAGCCAGAGAGATAAAAAAATAAGTCTTTTTATTTAGAGAGCGAGAGAGAGAGACTGCACAAGGGTGCAACTAGAGAGAATAATTAAATAATTAGAGAAAAGTGAGCAGGTTCAAACTTGTATAGAGCTAGACGTTTTTACGCACTATTTACTGCTAGTGAAACCACACTACTAAAATCACAAATCACACTGCGAAGTGAAAAAGAGAAGGAATGCATTTTTTCCCCTAGCGACAAACAACCAGACTGGGTCGATGCGTACAGCCTGGTACGGCGCCATTTTGTAAGTTTTTCACGGCGGGGGGCTTTTTTGCAACGTTGCCACTGTGATCATAAAAAATAAATATGATTGTTTGACTGTTTCCACAACACCTCGTGTCAGGAGAGTTTGTTTCGTCGTTTCTAGGGAAGTAAGCCAAGCAATGAAGTGGTAAGAAGGTTGGAATAGCCCTTTGCCTATCTACTCAATACATATATTTGCGGCCAACATTAGAGTGAGAGAATAGGAGAAATCCATGAGATTTTCTTGCCCTTACTAGCGCTATCTCATTCTGACAAAGAGGTAATAATACGAAAACTTTATTAGATAGAAAAAGACGCAGAACGCTTATTGCGCAAGACGAGGCAAAACGTACCGAACTATGTTAGGCTTACGTATAGCAATCCGTTCTTATTATTTGCACAGGATAAAGAAGGAAGGAGAAAAACCGCGTGACATGCAACGTATTTGTCAATCAAAAACACAAACGATTGAAAATCGATCACTTGTCAAGCTACGTCACGTTGAATATCAAGCATAATTTTATCCTTGTCAGACCACGGGCAATGAACAAGGACAAGGAGATGCCCAGCGTGCAAAAGGATTACTTCACACCTGTACTATTAGCCAATAAAAATGCATTGCCTCGTGTTGCGCGCGCATACAGGTAAAAATAGATAGGTCTATTGGATGACGCAAAGTTCATTCCATACCTCTTTCTACTTCATTGAAGCCAAGGCAATTACCAGTACCCCTTGCTCACCCTCTTGAGTAGGTATGTAGGTACCTACATACCTCTACAGCCCCTGCAGTCCTTTGTTATGAACTCTGGAAAGGGAACAAAGTTGATTTTTGAAGTGAAACTTCTTAAGCGGCGGTCTCGGTCTGATATTTGGACGAGAATGGAGAATGATTCGAAAGACGCGTCACGTTTTGGCAAATTGCGTTACACGAGAGAGAAGAAAAATCTAACGTATAGAAACGGAGGAAAAGAGCCCAATGACAATGACAGTCGACGAACGATTGACAGAAACCAAGGATTATAAGTAAAGAGGATTGCCTATTATTGTCAAGCGACGATACCCTTGTGACGTCACAACAGATGCGTGTCTCTCTTTTGTGTGGTCCTTCCTCTTTACATCGACTCATACGCTAAGTCTAGAAGTTGTATTAGCGAGGGATAGTTTTTAAGAAGTTTCACTTTTACCACGTGTATACGGCGCTGCATATGATCTTTTTTTTATTTAGCAGTGTTCCTGCCTTTGGGCGTTCATGTTGACAATTATACAGGGTTGTCGTTATACAGGGTGTCCCACGGTGGATGGCGTATTAGACGTTAATGGAGAACTAAAAAGCGGATCATTTTGAAAATTTGGCAACCGGGATAAACGACCATAATCTACACTTTAAAAATATTTTTGTTTGTGCGGTGTTGCCGCTTCTACTCCAAACCAGTGGCAACATCTCTATTTTTAATAAAACACCCTGTATATGATTGCATATTTCGATTCTGCATGAAATTCTGAACAGATTTCATGTGATATACCCTATACCTAAGTTCAACTGTTTTGGAAATATTGACAGTTGAAAATTGGCTTTTTGCATTTTTGACAGGCTGTAAAACCTGAACGGTTAATCATCTGACATCAACTTTGAATTTAATCCATGATTAAAAATTCCAAATAAATTTAATCTCCGGTTAAATTCAAAGTTGATGTCAAATGATAGTTTATTAAAATCTAAGATAGGAATGTGAAATCGGTTTTCCTCTAAAATTAACCGTTCAGGTTTTACAGCCTATCAAAGTCACAAAAACTCAATTTTCAACTGTCAATATTTCCAAAACAGTTGAACTTAGGTATAGGGTATAACCGAGGGTATAACGCATGAAATCTGCTCAGAATTTCACGTAGAATGCAAATATGCAATCATATACAGGCTGTTCCATTAAACATAGTGATGTTGCCACTGGTTTAGAGTAGAAGCGGCAACACCGCATGGTCAAAAATATTTTTGAAGTGTAGATCATGGTCGTTTATCCAGGTTGCCAAATTTTTAAAATGATCCGCATTTTAGTTCTCCATAAACGTCTAATACGCCATCCACCGTGGGACACCCTGTATATGGAAAGGTCTAATATTTCAGAACGCGCCTGGAAAAAATGTACAATATTTCTTACCTGAGCCTACCAGCTCCCCTGTAAGTCTTGAGTACTCCTACGCCACATTTTTCTGAAACCTTTTCTGGAAAACGAGACCGTTTCCATACACCAAGTCAAATAGAGGTTTGGCATTCAGGGGTTTTAGTTATTTTGGAACGCTGTATTTTGTATTGAGTACAATAAAAATAAAGAGGAACTTTCATTAGAAAAAAACTAAGTTACATACGAATACATGCGATAACCACCATTGAATCGGGCATTCCCAAAAACCCCAAGATAGGAAATATTGTACATTTTTTTTAGGCGCGTTCTGAAATATTAGACCGTTTCTACAGATAACGACAACCCTGTATATTAACTCACATAGCTACAACTTGCTCCTTGTTTGGACCTTTAGAATCCCTGGATTTGTTGGGCTTTTTTTCCATTGAGGTTTTGCCCTTTCCCTTGGGTGATGCTACCGGCTCTCTGGGGTCTGCCGCATCCGACATCGAGGTCCCGGCCGCCGCAGGAGCATACCAAAACTTCACATAAAATACTGCGTGCGAAAGGTAACTACTAAAGTCCAAAATCGAAGTATTTTGCGGAAATATAAGTGCGCTTAAAGTTTAGGAAGTATAGTTTTAAAGTTTCTGAAGTTAGTGATGACTTCAAAGCTTCATATTCGTTACACTAGATTGGTAGGTACTAACTGTTTCGATATCCAATGCTTTGCTATAAATCGAATCTTGCATTATAAAACAAACGTCGAAGTTTTTTCCAATAAGCAAAATTACTCAAATATTGCTTTTCCTGTACTTTTATGAACCAAAAAGTTATTATAGATTCAGTATTAGCACTTCCTTCGACTACATTTGGGAAACCACATAAATTGACCGTGGAGACTGCCTCAAATAAATCAACAACTTTTATACATAGAATACTTTTATATATTAGAACCAGCTTGTCAGTACTCATCAGGTAAAAATTGACAGAGGAGTGAGAAGTCAGCTGCAAAATCGAAATTTCTGTTCAAAAATGGGTTGCGGGCTCCTAATATCCTAACAACCCCATTTGCAATAAATTATTTAATAGTTTTTTTTTGTATTTTAATTAGCTAGTACAGTAAGTGCAGTTTGTTCACCAATAATCAAATTTCAGGAGGTTCTAGATAGAAGTAGTGACAGTAGTGATTTGTGCGGTAGTGTAACACTTTCCAAAAGGAACTTTAATAATCAGAAAAATTACTAAATATAAGATATGCACAATGCACAATAATATTTTGCTATGATTCAATAATAATTAATATTGATATTTATGCTTACATGAAATGTCTGCACATTAACTTTCAAATAATTAAGTTTACTAAGATCTCTCTTCATAGATAAATGCAATCGAATAAATATTCTCCATACCGACCATACCACCCAGTTACTCCAGTCACCGCCTTAAAAATAACTGGCCTCTGAACCAATGAAATTAATCCGAACGGTGGCAAAATACGCCTCCCAGCCTCCTATAATCTTAAGTATCTCAGCCTCTGGACCACCTATTACGAGAGGATTATAACACTGTAATTAGTATCTGGTTAGTCGTGTGCGGTACTGCGCGCCGGGTAGCTACTCATAATAATTTATTTCTTGTTGGGTGAATTGTGAAAAATTGTGGAGTGACTTGTCTACGTACCTACTGCAAAAGTTTTAAGATTGGATTATGTTGTGGTATGTGGAAAATTATTTTAAGATTCAGTTGCCAAGACGTAAACTTTGCCAAGACCATCAATAATTTATTAGTCTTTAAGTAAGGTCAAATCTGTTGCCTCTGAGTTTTAAAAATACTGCCTTCTATTTTAGTTTCCTATGGGTGATATTTTTTTTCTTCTGATTTTATGTAATTGAATGAGCTCATTCATTTCAAGTTTTTCTCATAAATACATTCCAGAAAGAATCGAATACTTAGGAATAATTTTATGCTTCATAAAAATTGCCATTTTGGTTATTAGTTTCAAGCGAAACTAGAGAAAAAAGCAAGACGCACCTGTCTTTCAGAAAAGCGAAATGTAGTTAACAATATCTTTAAACAATCACTTATGCTACATCATCATCATCATCATAAGTGATCACTCGATAGTCGATAACGATGAGTTTTCTGATGGCTATAAACCAGTTTCTGGCAGCATTGTATCTTCCTTTTTTCTCTCGCTCCTTCCTGCAGTCCCTCTTTCCGGTCTCGTGTCTGCGTCGCTGTTTGTCATAAGTTTGTGATCCGTCGTGGACTATTTGAAGCCATAATGAGGGACTATCATTTGCAGTCGTTTCCCAGTTGCTGGTATCGATGCGGCACTTTGCCATAATTCCCTTTAGAACATCTTTCTAGGATTTTTGATAACCTCCTTGCACACAGGTGACCTGTCCACCAATGTTGGTGCTTAATGATGAAGGCTTCCATGGTAATTGTTTTGGCCTCCTCTAAAATATTAATGTTCGATCGTCGGTCTTGCCATTTAATCCGTGGGATCCTTCTTAGGCATCGCTGGTGGTATTTTTTTAGGCTTTTTACGTGTCTTCTCTAGGTGGTCCATATTTCGCAGCCATGTATTTGTTGATATTGCAACTGCATTGTAGGCGCGAAGTTTAGTCTCAGCGCTGATGTCATGATTGTTGAAGACTCTCTCTAGAAGTGGTCCAAACGCCGCTCTAGCACACTCCAAGCGATGTTGGATTTCAGCATCAATGATTGCATTCTCTGCATTGCATATATGGCTCCCAAGGTATGGGTAGTGTTCTATACGTTCTGCAAAGAATGATCATTTATAGTTATATTTGGGGTTTCAGGAATAGTGCCCGGTGTAGGTTGGTGCAGAATCTGCGTCTTGTTAAAGTTGACCTCTAGGCCGATTCTCTTTTACCTATGTCTAGTTGAATTTATTGATAACTGCCTGAAGATCTTTCTCGGTATTGGTCTGTACAGCATTTCCACTTCTGACGGCTGGTGACTAACCCTCAAAAAGGTGATACATGATTCAAACAAGAACCGGTTAACTAGCTGCAAATTTATAAATATAAAATATTACATAATTCCAAAATAAACATTATCAATTAATTATTATTGTCTTAAGTCAGTTAATTTACTGGCTCCTACATATTTCTTTTTTTTTTCACGAGCTTGAGGTGTTGTAATTGGGAAGTTGTGCTTGAACTGAACCATCTTTATATTCATTTTTATGTTCCTCTTTTCCTCAGGAGGTACCTAGTTTATAGGTCTGCTCTCACAAGCATCGCTCATACATGTTTTTAATGCCGTCGTTCCAAAATAAGTCGGTTCAGCTGAGCGATTGTTTTTGACAGTTTGCAAACTGTCAGAGACACTTGTGAGAACAGATTATAGTTGTGAGGGTTTTTTTGGTAGTGAGCATATGGAGGAACATTTGGGAATGGGGATATTCAATCGTTATCACTTGAGCAATATTACGTTTTGTTGAAGATAAATATTTAGTATACCTATATCAAAAAAGTTTTTCACACCTAATGCCCCTATTACATCTGTGTATTTTTCCGTGTATTTATTCATGTAGTTCAGGGTGACAACCGAAAAACTTCAAACGCAACATAAATCACCATTATGAAAAACAAAATATTGTTGGAATATCTCGGAATCCAGCCATAGCCGGATTTTGCGCCCGTGAAGATGTTTGATCTAAATCGCATTCCCTACCTAATCTCCTATTTTAAACCAATTCGACAGAGAGACGCTTTCTGTAAGGTTTGTGCGGGGTCCGTTTTTCTGATGAGATTTTCTTAATGGTCTTTTGGGACCCCCCAATCTCCATACACTGAATTATTTTGAGATTTGGAGCCGGATTCCATCATGAAAAAGCCACTCAATTGGTAAATCACCCCAAATTGCTTAACGCAATTTTATTTCTGAAACTGTAAGTCCAAATAGCTGAAATTTTCAGAGATTGTAGTCCTCGCCGGGATAAAAATCGTTGAAAATTTCAGCTTTCTATCTGTAACAGAAAAAAAGCTATAACCTTTCAAAGTTTTTCAAAATCTTATTCATAAGGTAGCTTCCTCAGTACTAAAATGATGGAAATTCAAAATTTTTTTTCAAGGTTAGTCATCAAAGACTACACCGACACTTCCAATGCTGTTATAAGACTAGCTACTGTACGATCAATTTTGAGCATTGCAGCAAACGAAACACCAGTAAATTATTTTTAATCCGGCGGATTAAAAGTAAATTGTTTAATAACTTTATTTGTCTTGGTTGTGGAAAAATAGTATATATCATGCGGACTAAAAGCGCATTTTTTTCCTCGAAATTTTGCATTCGCTCGGCTGCGCTGATCCTTATAATATAATATACTATTGACTGCAACTGCATTTCTTTATGGAGAACTACTGGGAGACCATCTTTATGTAGCAACCAGATGGTTACCACCAAGTTGTTGGTACACAAAAATCAACACATTTCTCGAAAAATTAGGCTTCACGGCAAGTGAAGCTGACCTAACCAATGCTTGTATGTAAAAGAAAGAAATGAAAAAAGACTACTCATTACTCTCTACGTCGATGACAGCATGCTAGCTGCTGCCTAATCACAAGAATTGAACCAGCGACATATTTTTAGGGCTTACAAATTGAAAGAAACTTCTTCGTCTCCCAATTCGTATCCACTAATGAATATTTGCAATAACATTTTCCATTGCTTCTGTATTCCTGGCGGTGTGTATAAACGACTGCACATCATGTAGCCCTGTCCACTAGTCCACTGTCTGATATTTCACAGCCAAGACATTTTCTCTCTTCCGATTCCTCTCCGGCCTTGGATCTTGCCTTCGATCAACAGGCGCAAGAATTGGTATTTCGTGTTTCGCATTATATGTCGCAGATATGCCATTTTTCTCTTTTTAATCAATTCAAACAGTTCACGTTGTTCATTGACACGTCTTAGGACTTCTACGTTTGTTAGTGTAGCCATCCAAGATATCTTAAGATTCTGAGATACAGCCGCATCTCGAAAGCCTCTAATTTTTTAATTGCAGTCACCTTTAATGTCCAACCTTCCATACCGTAAGGTTCGCTCACCGAAATAACGTGGCTTATGAACTGGCGTATGATTTAGCAAGTGGCATACCCATTGCCCTTATTACGTGTCACTAAATGCATGTTACTTGCCTTGTCACTTCAGTGGGCTGTTGCTTATTTATTTATATTCGCTTGATTTGATGTGTGCTACTTGCTAGATCACACGCCACATCATAAGCCACGCTATTTCGGTGGGCACCCTGCCTAAAGAAGCACTGACCAAACGTGGCATTTAATGAATCTGAGTGCTGAGTCTTAGGTTAAGGTCAAAATCAGAACATGTAAGCACTCTTCGAAACCTCAAGAATGACTGTCGAACTTGTTCAATGCGACATTTTATTTTCCTGTCTGATGTCCAGTCTTCGAAAAGCCAGACACCCAAGTACTTAAATTTATCTACTCTCTCTATGAGCCTTGCGTTAAATGTTATGGTGGCGTTTTCAAACATATTTGGGTTTCTAGAGATAATCATAAACTTGGTTTTTTTGGGGTTGATATTTAAGCCCAATGATTTGCTCCTACCTTGTTGACTAGTTGTTGTAGGTCGTGTATGCTATCAGCAATTAAGACTCTATCGTCAACATGGCGGATATTGTTAATCCAAACTTCATTTACTTTGACTTCCATATCCACGTCTTCCAAAGCCTCCTGGGAAAATCGCTTCCGAATATAAGTTGAACAGGACAAGTCCCTGTCGCACCCCTCTTCTAATCTGTATGGTGTTGGACATATTATTGCCTAATTTGATTGCGCTGTTTGGTTCCAGTATAGGTTTTCAATGCATCTAATATCTTTCTGGGTCTATATCAAGCTTATTGAGAAGCTGCATTAAATTGTGGCGTATGCGATCGAATGCCTTTTCGTAGTCTAAGAAACATAGGCACACATCCTTTCTCTGATCGTAGCAGTTTTGGACAAGCACTTGTGTTGCAACCTTATCGCTGCTCGTGTACCTAACCCCTGTCTGAACCCCAATCGCGAGTCGCTTATGGCTCATTAGACTAATAAGTCTATGATCTTCACATTTGCTTGCATTGATCTTTTTAGGCAGAGGTATAAAAGTAGAGCACAACCACTATTTGGGATAGTGACCTGTCTCATAAGTAGAGTTGAATAATTTATGTAGTGCTGTGATGCCTCTTTCATCTAGGAGTTTAGGTATTTCTGGAGGGATTTCATCTGGGCAAACCGCTTATTTCTTGAATTACGTATGACACTTTCAATCTCGTCTTTAGTAATGGTTAGAGAGTTATTGATATCAGCTCTGTCGTCTGTCGTCGTCAAAAAGTTCTCCAAAATACCTTTCCCAAACATTGTTCTTCTCTTTGCTGTGGAGGACTATCTTATTGTTATTATTTACTGTTATAGTTGGTCTCATTTTTTTATATATGCCGGCAGTCTCCTTTTTTGTGCAGGTTAAAGACATCGTATTGAGTTTGCTGCTGCTCTATCTCTGAGCATTCACGTTTAAGCCATTCGTTCTTTGCTATTCTAATCTTTGATCTTATGAGTCTCTGAATATCCTGGTACATGTTGCTGTCTGTTTTGTTCTTGTGCTTTCGACGTTTATCCATTAACAACAAAATCTCATCCGTCATCCATATTCATCCATATGCAATATATTTAATTTTTGTTCTTTGTTCTTTGCCTTATATCCTCATCTGTTTTGCATTGAGTTTGTTGCAATGTCCATTATCTTTGTCCAGGCTTGTGTTGGCTCTTGTTCAATATCCGATGTTATTGTTTGTATTTGTGTGTTCATCTCATTAAACATCTCAGATTTTATTATTGGGTCCCTCAAATTTCTAACGTCACACGTCGCTATGTGATTGCCTTTCTTTGATTTGACAAAGAGATTTTCAAGACGGCCACCAATAGTACATGGTCAGAAGGCACATCTGCCCCAGGATATGTGACGGCTCTCCTGATGGTTGAATCTTTGGTTGATCAGGATGAAATCTATTTGGTTTCGTACTACATTGTGTGGACGGCCCGCTAGGGACTTCCAGGTATAGAGTCGGCGAGGGTGAACTGGGTGAAGTTGATGTATTTGTCACTTTCATGCTATCCTCCTGGCAGAATTGTAAAAGTCGATTACCCCTTTCTTCATGACCATACGATCCAACTAACTCCTCAAATTTACCCTTTCTTATATTGGCATTGAAGTCACCCATAATTATGTTGACGTCGTGTGAAAGAAACGATGTAGGCGAAATTAAAATTAGTTTAATTTCTACTAATTGCAGACCAGTTAGTAGGTACACCAATTGGGATGATATTTCAAAAATAGGAAAGAGACACTAGAAGCGTTAATGAAGTAAAAAAAATCCTCTCAGGAACAATTCACCTGAGTATCACCTTACAATGCTTTAGTGATAGCGATTTTGCAAGTTGTACTCAAAAAGATCAAGTTCTGAAGTTGTCATTATTTTTGCCAGAGAAATAGTGCGTTCTGGATAAGTCAACGACAGAATATGGTCGCCACTTCTACAACAGAAGCTGAAACTGTTACTGCGAATGAAGCTACCAAAGAAATTTCATGGGTTACTAGACTTTACAAATCAAGAATCAGATTTCAAAACATTCCTACTCTCGATAATTCTGCAACAGTATCTAATGTTAGCAGAAAATTCACAATTTCACCGCAGATCCAAACACATAGAACTGAAATAGTTTCTCTTACAGATGCGATGATCAAACCCTTGATTAAAATTAGATTCTAAATCCTGTGTTAAAATGAGACATGTAAAAAAAAAGCTTTTCTTTTAATGAATAAATATTATAATAAACGATACTATTATCAAATAATTTGCTTACTTTTGGAGTCTTAAAAAGTACAAGTACAAATTAGAAGACGTTTAATGTTTAATGGTTTTTCCATTTCTTTGAAATGTGAGTTCATTGTTCCCTTTCTGTTACCTAATGCATCTCATAGGTTCTGTAAAATCGAACTGCATCAAAATTACCGATAATTTTTCATAGAAGCATATTGGATGAGTTTATTTTCATATTATGGCAAAAGTTTGCCATATTTTATAATTTACTGCCATGTTAGAAGAGAGAACTCAGTCAATAAATCTTTTTGCTTCTCTTGCATGTTCGTGGCTTTTATAAACAAAGTAGCAATTTGTAATCTCTTAGGCACGACACATTTTTCTCTCCGTATGTTTAACTTGAGATCAGGCAAATTAGAATATTTTAGGTCATCAATATTTCTTGGTCTATTTTGTTGCACTCGAAAGAAGTCTAGTGGAGTAAGTTCCAATTCCGGAAGCTTTGGTGGTTTTGAAACTATATATCATTTCATAATATTTTATTTTCATATCTAACCATAAATGCCTCTTCCTAATTTTGGCAATATAATACTCAATAATGAAAATTACTTTTTCAGAAATGTTTGGCACAATGGAATCACGTACGACTGCCGATTTATTAAACACAGAAAAAGCGCCAAACAAGTTGAAATTTGGTATAGAAAGGCTCTTATCCAGTAACAATCCGGACGAAAATAAAACATTTGGAAAAGCGAATCCTACTATTAGCAAGCCCTTGCCGCATATTGTAGTGCCTTGTTCAGATTGTGAATTATACAGATGTTGCAGGTGAATACAAAATAATTGATTACCTACTAAATCAATATGTGTTAATTGTTGTTATTATATTAAAACATTTTTTTTTTATAGATTGGGTTCTTCAGGAGGTTGCCAATCTGATATGCTACCTGGAATGTCCGGCTTTTTCAATACCGAAACATATTTTGCATTTACTCGTAACGATAATGCACTTTATTCTGGACAACCCATTAGACCTTTTGCAACACGACCAAGTAAGTTGAAAATTATTTGTTTATAATAATTCAATTTTGATAAACATTTAATTAGTATAGCTTTTTCAAAAATGCTTGGCTTGGATTAGATATCGGATGAAAAAGTAGAAATGAACAATAATATTCTTCTTGTATTATAAATTGCACAATGAAAAGCAATTCTGTTTGAAATTCAATTAGTTAAAAAATTGTTCGCTGTAGGTAAGAGTTTTATTATTGGTGATACCAGCAGAGAAGATTTTTTAACTGTCTTTTCGGAGGTGGTACAAGAATCTTGGTTCTAAATTGTAGTTTGTATATTGTGAATTTGCCTGCTTGATGGTAGGCAAATTGTCTTTGAAAAAGCGGTCTGCTATAATGATTTTCGCTTCTGATACATTGATCTATTGCTTTCTGCGTAAATTGAGGAGGAAGGAAGTTAGGCTGATGGGTCGATAGCAGTGTTGCCAATGACCTGATAATTATCGAATTCTACCATAATTTTGACTACGATTCAATAATCGATAATGACAAGCTTATCTACCATAATTTATTGAAACCACAATTTTAATATAGATTTTTCAAATTTCTAGTTAAAAATTAAGGCGTTGGTGGTTGTTGGTTTTGAGTGTTTTGACGTACTGGTACGAGCATCAAACATTAGTCCCAGATTGAGCCAAAGTTGCATGCCAATAACTTTACTGGTTTCCAAAATATGGCCCTTTGAAATATTTGAAAATCAAATTCCCATGCATACCCCTTTGGAAAAATTTGAATTTTTAAATTTTTAGATTTTGCAATGTTTGACTTTACCAATCAAAAGAGGAGATCAAAATTAGGGGAAAAGCATTTTTGCAACTTTGTTTTTAGAGTTTTAAAGCCTTTTTAAAAAATAAAAACGATTTTTGCAATTTTTGGGCTCAAAAAAATTTCAATAATCTGACATTCTTTTACAAAATTGCTGATTACTCGGTTATTATTGTGACAAATACAATGTAAAATTATAATTTCTGAATCAGAATTGAATTATCTTCAAGATACAATAAGACTCAATTCAATATCTTGAGTACTTCTGAAGATATTGAGGCTCAAAGTTGAAACTTTACCTCAAATTTTGCAAAAGCTTCCAGGCGGATTATCTTGAAAACGAAGCCCTTGGGCTCGGAGTCTTAAATAACCTTTTTCGTAGCCCTTATTAAGAGCTACAATTGGGCAAAATATTCATGCCAATAACTTCACTAGTTTCCAAAATATGGCTCTTTGAAATATTTGGAAATCAAATTTCCATGCATACCCCTATGGAAAAGTTCGAATTTTTAAATTTTCAGCTTTTCGAATTTTTGACTTCACCAATCGAAAGAAGAGATTAAAATTAGTAGAAAAGCATTTTCGCAACTTTATTTTTAGGGTTTTATGCCTTGTAAAAAAATAAAAACGTTATTTGCAATTTTTGGGATCAAAAAATTTCAATAATCTGATATTCTTTCACAAAATTGCTGATTACTCGGTTATTATTATAACAAATATTATGTAGAATTATATATTCTGAATCAAAATTAAATAATCTTCAAGATAAAATAAGATTCAATTCGATATCGTAAGTACTTCTGAAAATATTGAGGCTCGAAGTTGAAACTTTACTTCAAATTTTGCAAAAGCTTCCAGGCGGATTATCTTGAAAATGAAGCCCTTGGGCTTGGAGTCTTAAATAACCTTTTTTGTAGCCCTTATTAAGAGCTACAATTGGGCAAAAAATTAATGTCAATAACTTCACTGGTTTCCAAAATATGGCTCTTTGAATTATTTTGAAATCAAATTTCCATGCATACCCCTATGGAAAAGTTCGAATTTTTAAATTTTCAGCTTTTCGAATTTTTGACTTCACCAATCGAAAGAAGAGGTTAAAATTAGTAGAAAAGCATCCTCGCAACTTTATTTTTAGGGTTTTATGCCTTGTAAAAAAATAAAAACGTTATTTGCAATTTTTGGGATCAAAAAATTTCAATAATCTGATATTCTTTCACAAAATTGCTGATTACTCGGTTATTATTGTGACAAATATAATATAAAATGATATATTCTGAATCAAAATTGAATTATATTCAAGATAAAATAAGATTCAATTCGATATCGTAAGTACTTCTGAAAATATTGAGGCTCGAAGTTGAAACTTTACTTCAAATTTTGCAAAAGCTTCCAGGCGGATTATCTTGAAAATGAAGCCCTTGGGCTTGGAGTCTTAAATAACCTTTTTTGTAGCCCTTATTAAGAGCTACAATTGGGCAAAAAATTAATGTCAATAACTTCACTGGTTTCCAAAATATGGCTCTTTGAATTATTTTGAAATCAAATTTCCATGCATACCCCTATGGAAAAGTTCGAATTTTTAAATTTTCAGCTTTTCGAATTTTTGACTTCACCAATCGAAAGAAGAGGTTAAAATTAGTAGAAAAGCATCCTCGCAACTTTATTTTTAGGGTTTTATGCCTTGTAAAAAAATAAAAACGTTATTTGCAATTTTTGGGATCAAAAAATTTCAATAATCTGATATTCTTTCACAAAATTGCTGATTACTCGGTTATTATTGTGACAAATATAATATAAAATGATATATTCTGAATCAAAATTGAATTATATTCAAGATAAAATAAGATTCAATTCGATATCGTAAGTACTTCTGAAAATATTGAGGCTCGAAGTTGAAACTTTACTTCAAATTTTGCAAAAGCTTCCAGGCGGATTATCTTGAAAATGAAGCCCTTGGGCTTGGAGTCATAAATAACCTTTTTTGTAGCCCTTATTAAGAGCTACAATTGGGCAAAATATTCATGCCAATAACTTCACTAGTTTCCAAAATATGGCTCTTTGAAATATTTGGAAATCAAAATTTCTATGCATACCCCTATGGAAAAGTTCGAATTTTCAAATATTCAACTTTTCGAATTTTTGACTTCACCAATCGAAAGAAGAGGTTAAAATTAGTAGAAAAGCATTCTCGCAACTTTCCTTTTTGGGTTTTAAAGCCTTGTTAAAAAATAAAAAATCATTTTTGCAATTTTTGGGCTCAAAAAAATTTCAATAATCTGACATTCTTTTACAAAATTGCTGATTACTCGGTTATTATTGTGACAAATATAATATAAAATGATATATTCTGAATCAGAATTGAATTATATTCAAGATAAAATAAGATTCAATTCGATATCAAAAGTACTTCTGAAAATATTGAGGCTCGAAGTTGAAACTTTACTTCACATTTTGCAAAAGCTTCCAGGCGGATTATCTTGAAAATGAAGCCCTTGGGCTTGGAGTCTTAAATAACCTTTTTTGTAGCCCTTATTAAGAGCTACAATTGGGCAAAATATTCATGCCAATAACTTCACTAGTTTCCAAAATATGGCTCTTTGAAATATTTGGAAATCAAATTTCCATGCATACCCCTATGGAAAAGTTCGAATTTTTAAATTTTCAGCTTTTCGAATTTTTGACTTCACCAATCGAAAGAAGAGGTTAAAATTAGTAGAAAAGCATCCTCGCAACTTTCCTTTTTGGGTTTTAAAGCCTTGTTAAAAAATAAAAATCATTTTTGCAATTTTTGGGCTCACAAAAATTTCAATAATCTGACATTCTTTCTCAAAATTGCTGATTACTCGGTTATTATTGAGACAAATATAATATAAAATTATATATTCTGAATCAGAATTGAATTATATTCAAGATAAAATAAGATTCAATTCTATATCGTGAATACTTCTGAAGATATTGAGGCTCAAAGTTGAAACTTTACTTCAAATTTTGCAAAAGCTTCCAGGCGGATTATCTTGAAATTGAAGCCCCTGGGCTCGGTGTCTTAAATAACCTTTTTTGTAGCCCTTATTAAGAGCTATAATTGAGCAAAAGATTCATGCAAATAGCTTCACTGGTTTTCAAAATACAAGCATTTGAAATATTTGAAAATCTAATTTCCATGCATACCCCTTTGGAAAAGTTCGAATTTTTAAATTTTTGGATTTTGCAGTTTCTGACTTTACTAATCAAAAGAAGAGGTGCAAATTAGTGGGAAAGCATTTACGCAACTTTATTTTTAGGGTTTTAAGGCTTGTAAAAAAATAAAAACGATATTTGCAATTTTTGGGCTCAAAAAATTTCAATAATCTGATATTCTTTCACAAAATTGCTGATTACTCGGTTATTGTTATTACAAATATGATGTAAAATTATATATTCTGAATCAAAATTGAATAATCTTCAAGATAAAATAAGATTCAATTCTATATCTTAAATACTTTTGAAGATATTGAGGCTCAAAGTTAAAACTTTGTCTCAAATTTAGCAAAAGCTTCAAAGCCGTTTATCTTGAATACGAAGCCCTTGAGCTCGAAGTCTTGAATAACCTTTTTTGAAGCTCTTATTGAGAGCTACAATTGCCAGAGTCCCAGCTAGAAACCGAAAAATGAAAATAGAGATAAAAAGTCAAAAAAGTTGACAGAAACTTTTTCTGATAATTTTTCTTGGAATCTGATAATTTTGTTCTCAAATCCTGATAATTTTAAATTTGACATCTGACAACACTGGTCGATAGGATTTTGGTTCATCCTCTGGCCGACGCCCTATATGAATATCACGCCAGTTTTACTCTAGGCTAGTGGAACGTGAGTGAGGCTAGATTTTGAATATCATTTGGAAATGTGCCTGGGGGTTACTGTAACCCTTTTGCAGCTTGGTTTTGATTTGTCAAGTTGATAATATTGTTTGAATGATGACGACTGAAAACTGGACCTAATTCCAACTTATTCGGACTCAAAATTTCGATTTATTTACAAAAATACTGCCCGCTTTCACTGTCATTTTCCCATTAAAATTACATCAAACTGTTTAGAATGGTATCAAATCTGGCAACTAACCTTCATCACCTTTTCCTGTTTCTCCTTCAAAATATTTGATTTTTATTAAGAAATTAATTACTCGGTTAATTCCACGATCTAAAATGTTTATTTGAAGAAAAATCACGGCTCCGCAGCGATTATATTTTCAACGGTTATGTTGAAATCGTGGCCTGTAATTAATGACAGCGAAATGCGAAAATTGTATTTTAGAGGCTGAGAACTGT